AGAACTTCACGGGTGAATGTTTCTTATAATAGGTACACACCTCCAAGTATCGACGAAATGCGTGGCGTTCGGATTCATATTCGCGATCGACGTATCCATGACCAATTGAAGAATGATTTAATAGAAAATATTTGGAACAAATTTGGTTATGAAGATTAATAAAATATTGTTGTATTTTCCTTTTTTATCATTTAATAAATAATGTTTTTTTTTAAAAAAAATATTATTTTATTCATAAGGATTCCGGATTGGAGAACACCATTGAACTTGAAAAACGGATGAAAATCCTTAACTATTCAAAAAGTACAAAAAAAATTATTAAAAAAAGGTTAAGGACTCATTGGGGGAGAACACCATTGTACATGCTCTAACATCCATACACTCGGACAATCCAACTGTAACATAATAGACGAGAAAGTGGTAGGACCCATTTCTATATCTATGCGTATACCTAATGAATGACATATGATTAATATGTCATGTCCTGTATTTAATTATGTTAACCGGATGTCACTGACATAAGGCCTTTTATATGCAATGCTTTCTTGTGTGATCACTATCTGTCTTTCAATCTGTTTAACAAATGGGTTTTAGCCACAGCTTCTTTAAACTCAAGTGTTGCTTCATTTGACCTCTGGAAGGTGAATGTACCATTTCACCTCTTGAGCCGCCAAGACTATGTTCTTTTACAGTTCCTTACATTCTCGGTGCCATCTATGTTGAACCAACTGTTGATACATCTGCACCGAGTACCATTTGCTGTAAAAGTCCACACATTCAAATGAAAAAAAAATGACTACAGTGGAGAGGTTTTACAAGTGGAGTGGAATCCTTGTCATGAAACAGTGCCGGCATCTTCCGGTTAAGACAGAGGGCTGATGGTCTGGGACCTGAACAGGTGCCATCATCTCCGCTGCAGAATATAAAAAACTTGACTTTTTAGTCTGATGATTGTTCAAAGTTTAGTAAGGCTTTTTTATTGGGTTTTACAGGGCTAGAGAGAAGCCAGCTGAAGATAGAGTTGGATGCAGAAGATGGTTCACCAGAGTTATTCTCTCAAGGAGACCAGAAGGCTAAGATATCAGATTTTTCTTGGAACCAAAACGAGCCGTGGGTTATTGCAAGTGCAGCAGAAGACAACAGTCTTCACGTCTGGTAAATGGCGGAAAACATCTATCGGGACGACGATGAAGCTTAGAACGACGAGGCCATCAAACAAGATACTACATAACGGTAATTAATTTAGGAAATGATATGGCCTCTCCGTTATATAAGTTGTATCCTGTGTTAGCAAGTTTTGAAAACAATAGCTTTGTGTCTGTATTAGGTCTTCGCATGAATCATTTCTGGTTGTTAAAGCATATCCATGATTTGACCGTGGATATGTTGCAAAATCGAATTTTGTGGCTACAAGTAGACTCTAGACCTTGAATCGAAACTGAGCGTGCAACATCTTTGATAAGACATGACTGTTCTTTTGCCTTAACAAGAGGATGGTAAGCGAAGTTTGAGTTACTAGGTTACTACTGAACATGATTATAGTAAACAAGAGGATGCAAGAATTATTAGAATTTTTGTTCTTTTAAGCACAGTCAGAACTCAAGGAAAAACTACTAAAGCTCCAGTTTCAGCATCTCTACAAGACTGATGAAAATAATCGTCCCCAAAACTTAATTTTCCAAATGCATTATTCAACCTCTTCCATCAGAGCTTAAAAAAAGAAGTTACTAAAATACAAAGCCAAAGGGCAAGAACACTGGCATAATTTGACTTGAATATAAACAAGTCTTACTTTTAGCGTTTCCACGAGCTCAGCAAAGAAATGCACTTACATAAGAAACGCAAAAAAGAGATTCAAAAAAATAATAATAGTACAAAGGGACCTGGAGACAAGCTGGTGATGCAGTTGAAACTCTAATACTTATTGGAAGCCAATTTAACTATAGCCTTTTGAAAATGGATAGAATTGCATGACTAATGATATTTAAACTGCTTTAGCTGCAGGAGTCCCACCTGTCGCAAAACACGAGCAAACACCTTGAGTTCACAAACTAAATCCACAAAAACAAAAGCTAACAGACATCATGATAGCTTGGAGTCTTTGTCTAAGGGATCATAAAGTCTTAGAGTCTCTCACCTTTTCTCTTATTAGTCTCGGATGCATTGACGCTGAATGTTCCATTCCCATTACTACAGCCAGCTAAATTCTGATCACCTAAGCATTGAAGCTGATCAAACTCACAACCATTGAGCCCTTGATCATTCATCAACATGGTACCTTCTCCACTGTCCCCATCTTGAAGGCAGTACAAGTTGTTGTCAACATGGCATGGCATATTGCAAGGCTGCATTGTATACGAGAAAGGCTGAGGTTTCTGATAAGGGAAGGCGCCAATCTCTCCTTCAATTCTTCCTCTTATATCCACAAGCAAACACTTGAGCCTCGTAACCTCAGCTTCCAATGCAGCCTGACCTTGCAACCTCTTCATGAGCTGGCTATTCACAGCTCTGAGCCTCATGACTTCATCCTCCAGCGAAGCAGCTTTAGCCTTCTTCTTCTCTCGATACTTTCTAACCGCTTCTCTGTTCCCCAAAGGCCTCTTCTTGATCTTGTTCCCTGAAGATTCAGATGTGTCATCGGTTGTTTCTTTGTCCTCGGTCTGAGCAGGAAGAATCTTGGTGTGGACATGGAGACATGTGTGTGTATGTGTGTTCTCTGGTCCAGGAGGGTTGCAAGTGTGAGTGTGGGTACAAGCATGAGAGTCCCTAAGAAGCTCATCGAAGAAAGAATCCATGGAAGAGCTGCTAAGTGGAAACTCAACCTCACCGTCGTCCATTATTACACAACACTTTTTGTTGTGCTCGAAACCAAACAAGACTCCCGATCAAGTAAAAGACCTACTAACAGAATGGAACACACAAATTTAAACGATTCGGCTGATACAATTCGAGCGATTCAGACGAATCTGATAATCCATAGAATTGGGAGAAAGTTCGTACCTTTATAAACCTAGAAAACTCCGAAACAAGTGAAGGGTTACGAACCCTAATTTTGGAATAGAGAGACTTTGGCGGCGAATCGGGGAGAAGTGTTTAAGAGAGTAAAAGGGGAGAATTAGAAAAGGAAACCCGAGAGACGAAAAGGCATTGATGATAGGAAGGCATTGATAACAGATGGCTTTATTTCCATGGCGGAAAGACATGGACGTACCAAAAGCTACTTCGATTTGCAGAGATTCTTTTCTTTAAAAAAATTTAAACAGTAACAGTCAAGAATGGTTTTTCACTTGTATATTGGTGAATGATTAGATTTTACATTCATATTGAATTTGAACGATTTATATTGGTTGATCTATTCCGGTCTGCCTCCCCAAGCCACCTCAAGCTTGATTAATAGATCAGCTTTTCGTTGTCAAATAAAAAAAAAATTTGACTATCATAAATTACGTAGTTAAACTATGGGTAGACAATCTATTTATTCACAAGAACTACCATATAAGATATTCACACCGAACTATGACTTCATACTAGATTCCCACAAATTGAAAATTGCAAATATATTTCTTCCCGAATTAATACTTCAAAACTTAATTAACCATATATGATGATTTTTATTAATTTACTAGGTGATTTTCCCGTGCTCATGCACGGATATGAATATTCATAAAGTAAAAATTTATAATAATTGATTGATATTTAATTTTAGTTTTGAATCAATTTATATGTATAGTTTATATTAATAAATATTATATTATTCTAATTATACATATGAATTTGGATATATTATTGTCGGTTTAGTTACTTTTTGGATCAATAGTAGGTTTGGTTATCAATTCGGTATATTTGATAATATCTACCGAATTCAACTATAATAATTTGTATTCTAAATATAATAAAATTTTGATTAATCTTCCTATTTTCATTTCGGTAGGTTACTGTATTTAGATATGTAAATATATTTTTTGACCAAAAAAAAGATATGTAAATATATTCTGAGAAATGTAAATATATTATAGTTAAATTATGTATAACTTAATATATATTGTGCTTAAAATGAAATAAATAATAAGCTGCAGTGTTTGATTCAAAATTACATAAATGAATATAATGATAAATATTTTGAAATCTCATGCATATATATAAATGCTAAAAAGAATTAAATTGTAATGGGTTAATATTTCTTTTTCTTTTGAATATACTTATATGTCTAAAATTAAATAGAGTATTATCACTACTATTATTATTATAAAATTATATGTTCTTATTGTAGTTAGATGTCTAATTTTGGATATAAATTAGATTAGCCGAGTCATTCATTTTGTGAGTATATTGAGTTAAACATATTTTTAAATTAAAATTGAAGTATAGTTACTTTTTATTTTAGTTAAGTCAAATCAAGCTAGTTTTATTTATTGCTTAAATATACATGTATTTTCATAATATTTATTTAATCTTTATTTTAGTTAAATCAAATCAAATTAGTTTTATTTATCGATTAAATATACATGTATTTTCATAATATTTATCAAATTATATGTTGATTTCTAAAAAATAAAGTGTAACTGATAAATTTTTGGATGTTCATGAACGTATATATTTTTATTATTTTGAAAATATATTTTATGTTATCTAAAAATATATATTAATGGAGGTATTACTATTTTGTGAACTTTCCTTTTTAATAAAGTCATATTATATACATGTATATTCGTTTTTAATTTTTTAAAAAAGTTTAGGAATATTTCCTTTTATTATATATGTTATTTGGAAAAAGTTAAAAAAGAAACTATATAAAAAATAATCTTAAAATCTAAAAATTCATTAAGGGTATCCAAGTAATCAACCATCGCGAGAGTTAACGTGAGCGCGACACGTAGGAAACTGACTTCTCAAATAATATTATAGAGATTCCTAACCAAACATCTTAAAATCAGTTAAAGCATACCAAAATTCGATTTTTGTATATTTTTTAATGAGTTTCCATTGGTAATGTATTTTTGTTTTCAAGTAAATAAAATAGAATCTTCTTCTGTTGTAAAATAAACTCATTAAAATGTTTACATAAGAATGTTAACACTGATTCAGGTGGAGATTTAATAAGTTCATTTTACAATAGAAGAATATTTGTTTTGTTCATTAGATAATAAAAATACATCACAAATGAAAACTGATAAAAAAAACTATACAAAAATTGAATTTGGGTTTGGTTTACTTGATTTTAAGATTTTTGGTTAAGAATAGGCCAATTAAAACCAATAAAAACAATCGTATGTGGGTAATTAAGTTTTGAAGTATTGATTCGGGGAGAAATAGGCTTGCAATTTTCAATTCGTGGAGATCTAGCATGAAATCATAGTTCGATCTGGATCTGATGCTATATAATAGTTCTCATGGGTAAATAGATTGTCTACCCTATTAACGTCAAATCCACGATAAAGCACTAATTTAATTTTTTTTTTTGGTCAACAAACCACTTATTTACTGAATTTTCATTTCTATTATTATTTTGACAAACAATTTTATAATTTGAGCTAATTTAATATAGGTACTGTATATCCTTTATTGGGACTAATGTATTAATAATTTTGTAGGGTCTCGGTTTATAATTTATGTGAAATTATTAATATAATTGATTTGAATATTTAATATTATCAAAATACACTTTTTATCATATATACAGAAATTTTAAAGTTAAACATGTTTAAGTTGAAATAGTAAATCAGAAAATAATTTTCTGATATTGTACGAATGGGATTACAACATAAGAATATCACGCAAGCTTCTTTCTAAAGTTTCGAAACAGTGTCAGTTCATCATGGAGCTTCATCCCAAATTATGAACTTAGCTTGTTTTACCAATTATGCTTAATCTGAACCCTTTGACATTGTACATGTTGTAAAATTGTGTACATTAATTGATATTCCAAATCTTGAGTGAACTGTCCGGCCTCCCGGTAAAAGCAATGCAGCAATACCATTGGATGCCACATTCAATATTATTTCTCTCAAAGATCGAATAGTAGCACCTAGGATGTTCCAAAAAAACGTTTTTCCTGTTCCTCCAAAACCATAAACGAAAAACATACCACCTTTGTCACCATTTACTGCATCTAGTATCTCTTGGTAAATAGCTCTTTTCTCATATGTTATCTTGACTAATAGCTCTCTGTGTTCATCATGGTTGTAGTTTAGCTCGTCACTGATCAAAGAATTAACATCAGTATCATACGCATAAGCATCTGGACGTGGTAAATTTCAGTGAGCTTCCATTAATACGCATGAGCGATTCAATCTCTCCCAAAGTTAGGCTCTTTATTTGATCTTCTGATAAACTCAAATCTGAAAAGAGAGAAAAATGAATTTAAAACTTTATACTGAAAACATTGTATTAACTTTTGATCTTACTTAGATTTTTTTTTCTTTGGTTGTACAATATATACTCAGATAGTATCTCCCAAGTTGCATTCCATACATTTTCTGGAATTGTGACACTCTTTGATATCAGTATTATAGAAAACAGCCTTCGGAGGTACTTTCCAGAGCTCCAAAGACTTGCTTCTTTAATAGCTTTAATGTACTCTTTATCCTCATCCAACAAACCCAATGCATAACATGCATCTTTGAATGTCTCGTGGATATAGCCGCTAACTGTTCTTATCTCTTCAAAGCTTGTTGGACCTTTGACTATATTTAGCAAAACCCTTAAATAATACACTTCACCTAAAGATGGTGGTACATAAGTGATCCTTCCAATTGCAAAACCCCTCCGTCTTGGCTTCCACATTCTTGTTTTCAGATGCCAAACAAAGTATGGTGGGAAGTCTGCATACGTTAGATTTTTTGATTCTGGATATATCTTATTGGCCTCCATCCAGGCGATAAACTTGGACTTACCGACAAAAATTATGTTTATTATTTCTTCAACGGGGTCATCTTCATTGAGAACAACTAGTGTTTGACCTGGGAGATGAAATGATAATTTTTCTACTGATGTTGTTCTATAGTGAGTAGGAAAAGCAAGAGTTCTCCAAGTAGATTCACATGCGGATATGTATCTGAAAAGTTCAACATAATAAAATTGAAGCTAATGAATGAATAATATTTTATTTTCAGAAGTTACCTGTAGCTATAGTGTTCTTTTATTTATTTCATCAACAGTATTATCATTTTGGTCGTTTCATCCTACGGATTCGTTGACATAGTCTGGTCCTTTAGTAATGTACTTTAAAAGGTACTTGATAGAGCGTGTGTGGTTGCACCATTCAACGTTAATATGAGCACGGTAACGAAGCGATAGATCCTTATTGTATGGAACGACATATCTATTATCACAGTCAAACCCTCTCTTGTGAACTGTTCTTCCATCTTCTCTCCGTTTATAAATAGGAAATCCAGCATCATCAACTTTAGTGACTGCACTAAAAGACTTGGGAAAGAATTTTGAACACCTACCATCAATCATACAAACATTGGCTTTATTAACAGCTCTGCAGGGTCCATGTATCATATTATCTCCAACAACTTCGTACAAATATGGTTCCAGATCTTTATCCAGGAGTTTTTCGCTAATAAACTTTCCAATATCTTCACCGGTTGGCATTTTTGAATCTGGATGCAAAAACAGCACCATATGTGCATGTGGAAAACCTCTTTCTGAAATTCAATTGTGTACAAAGCTGAAACAAAGTAATAATAAATTAGTTAGTTTTGATTTGTAAAATATAGAAATATTAATTATTATTAGAAATAGAACAAAGTAAATAAGATTTTACCAGCATTAACTTTACCAAAAGTGTCTTTCTCTCTTTTTTTAGTTAGTTGTTGTATTATACTATCAAGTTTCATTTTGAAAACCCTGCAACATATGTCTGGCCTATCTTTTGATTTTAAGTTATGTTTCTGAAGATACCTTGTAACTTCTGGCCGCTCAGGATTACAAGTAATTGTAATGAAAACATCCGGATAACCATAATATTTGCACGTTGCCATGGCATCAAGATAGTGTTGCATCATATACCTTTTACCTCTTGGGAAAGAGGAAGGTATAAAGATTCGTTTCCCTTGGTCTGCTAAATTATAATCCCTTTGGCCAGCTGCTTTTTGAATACTGTCGAAGTTTTCAGACCAGAGATTTTTCTGATTAAAGAAAAGATATCGCAGTCTATTTGTCTCAATCATGGTGTAGACATCTACCAAGAATTGTTGAAACAATCAGCCTTTCATCGTTATAGTAGGAAATTCTCCTTCCCGTTCTTGTATAC